CAGGCGGCGGCGTTCCAGCGGTTTCTCCCTCGCCGCTCTCTAGCTCCGGGGGCTGCTGGGCGAGAGCAGCCCCCTCCGGGTACCAGCTCCGCATACAGGGGTGCACAAAAGCAGAGCGTGGCCTCGCGTGCTCCCCCGTTTCGAGACACGGGGGCGAGGCGACGTTCTAGATCGGGGGCCTCCAAGGCTAAGCCGGATCTTCGGACCGTACTTAAGTCTAGGAGGTCCTCGGCCAAAAAGTCCTGACGCCACTGGCCCAGGACTTATGAGGGCAGTCCCCTCTGGGGTGCAGCGGGTTACACCGCATTACACGGTGTCCGTCTCGCCTCAGTGCCCTCAGGAGATCGGCTGCTAACCCTGCCGGAGTTACAGGGCGCAGCGGTCTCCCGCGAGCGCCACTCTCAGTCACCGCCCGGCAACGTAGCGGTGCTAAGAGGCTCGCCACCTCCGCGGAGGTCTCTAGAGCAGCAGGTTCGGTTGTTCCCTGCCGGTTCTCCGTTACAGGGCACCGAGCTGGCTGCTCGTATTACACCAGAGATCAGTCTCGAGAGACTGATTCCCTTAGTAGACTTTTTGGCAGCGTGGAAACTACTGCCAAATGTGTCTCAGTGGGTCCTGCGCACTGTAGAGAGAGGCTACAGAATCCAGTTTGGTTCTCCTCCGCCTCTTTTCAACGGGATTACGCCCACGCTGGTGGGCCCCGAGCAGGCTCTGGTTATGGAACAAGAAGTAGTTACTCTTCTGAGGAAGGAGGCCATCGAGGTGGTCCCTCCTCATGTGAGGAAGTCCGGGTTCTACAGCCGGTACTTCATAGTTCCGAAGAAGGATGGGGGGTTGCGTCCGATTTTCATGCGGCCGAGTTCAGGATGCTTACTATCAAGCAGGTCGTGTCTCAGATCAGGTCCGAGGACTGGTTCCCTGGCTCCGCTGCGACTTCAGGGCATCCGCATACTAAATTATATCGACGATTGGTTGATCTTAGCTCAATCAGAGCAGATGGTGGTTCGACATCGAGATGTCGTTCTCGCCCACATGAGAGAGCTGGGGTTAAGACTAAACGCCAAGAAGAGTGTGATTTCTCCATTACAGAGGACCACTTATCTAGGCGTGGTGTGGGATTCGACCACGATGCAGGCACGTATGTCCCTCAGGGCCCGGTGCTGGGAGCTCCTTGTTGCTGCGTAATGCTAGCGACGGACGCGTCCCTCACCGGTTGGGGAGCGGTCATGAGTGGCCACCCTGCCCGTGGTCTATGGAGTGGTCGCCATCTCACGTAGCACATCAACTGCCTGGTGATGCTGGCTGTGCTGCATGCACTGAGATACTTCCTCCCAGACCTGAGAGGTCACCATGTGTTGGTGCGCTCCGACAACACAGCGGTGGTCTCTTACAGCAACCACCAGGGAGGTCTGCGTTCACGCCGTTTGTACAAACTAGCGTACCAGATCCTTGTGTGGTCCCAGGGCAAACTTCTCTCGCTGAGAGCAGTTTACATCCCTGGGCATCTCAATTTGGGAGCAGACATCCTGTCGAGGCAGGGAGGGACCGAGGCCCGGGGAATGGATGCTTCACCCCATGGTGGTGAAGCAGATATGCCCTGCCAGCGCTTGCTTCATTCCTAGGAGCTGACGCTGGTCTCACCGCACGTGCTTTTATAGCCTCCTGGTCATTACGTCACCCGCCGTGACGTCTCGCCCATCTATTGGTCTGATTACACACGAGGTTCAGAGCCCGTCACGCTGAAGGGCGTTCCCCGAGCGTTTTCGACGCAGTGTCTCGTTCCCTCGAGGAACTAGGGTTACATACGTAACCTGAGGCGTTTTAGTTAACTATAAAAACCCTGGTGTCATAAGTGTTTTTAAGCCACTTTTATTGCATATTATTTATTTTTTATATATTTTATTTTTGTATTTTCCATTTTCATTAAAATTTTAGTTAAAGTTTTAGTAATACTGTGGTGTATTTTAGTCTTTTTTTTTGTCTATATAGTTTTTTTCTATAAATTTTTGTTTCAGTTTTTGTTTTAGTTATTGTAACGGCCCCTGAAGGTTTCCTTCTGATTACAAGAATCACGCTTCAACTGATGTCTTAACGTTTAATGTCTTCTTTTCAAAGAGTATAAGTATCGGCGTCATCGTCATCTTGATCCTATTTCGACATCACTTGAATATCGTGACACCCTTTGGATATCAACATCTTGACATCTTTACATCATGACACCGTGAAAAACTGAAACAAATAAAATTACCTTCAGATACATAACCTGTGAGTGTGTTTCTGTTTTTACCGCAGTTTAACCAAGTCTGCTTCTTACTGAACCAATATCAATACACACAGTACATTAACTTTGCAAATTAACAGATGAAATCCAAAGAATAAACAACATACCGTGTGCGCCTTCTAATCAGAAATCCAGGAGACATTAGAGGACATTTATGTAGGCATTCCTTCTAACAAATAATCTTACAATCGATCAGCTCTTAGCATTTGTGCATTTCTTTGTGGATCTGATACTCACATGGCTAGATCACGTGACAAATTCAACTAACGTTACACATATTTCACCTGCAGGTGTCACTATTACCCAGTATTTATAATACTCAAATACAATTTCCAAATGAACATTCATAATACATTACACACCATTTGTGAACTAAATACCTTTTCACAAAATAAATGACTGAAATACTTAAAAGAAAATACAACCTTTTCTGCGACAGCTACAATTATTTTAGTACATCAAGTTAAACTAGTTAACACAAAATAAGTTAATAAAAAGTAATAAATAATAAATATTTTATTGTATTTTATTTCAGTTAACATTTATTTCAAATAACAAAAAAAATCATTCTTTTTTTTTTTTATGGGATGTAGTTTTAGTTAACTATAACAACCCAGGTGCTGTAAATATTTTTTTTTTCAGCCACTTTTATTGCAGACTCTTTAGGTTTAAGATGGCTTGCAGTAAAATACTGCAGTTTGAGCATCAATACAAATCAGGGCTAAACATTCCCAGAGATCCAGAATCAAATGAAAAATCAGGCCGAACGGAGCAAGAACGCCCTCGAAACCCCAATCAGAGGATATTTACAGGTGCTGCAGGTAAAACAGCGTTCTGCTGAGGCGCGTGCTTACTTGCAGGCACTTTCTTCTCAAACTGTTTACCTGCTCTGTCACACTCGGCCTGCTAATTAATGACTCATTTTCGAATCATTTATCTAAGAGCTGCTGGCGAAGGGAGAAAAAGCAAATCACCGTGGAAAAAAAAGCAAGCAATCAGCGCAATGAGGAAACTAACAGCCCTCCTCGTTCGCCACATCGCTCTCGTCTCTCAGCATCCATCTCTCTCTCCTGTCCTCCGCCACTCGCACGGCACCATGGGAAAGAGGG